CCTTGCACGGGGGGTGGTAGCCCCTGCAGGGGCCATTTGGCCCCTGTTGGGAGGCTGTAGCTCCTGTGGGGGGAGACAGCAAAACATATAGGTATTTAGAATTCATTTCATTATGATGACAGAAACACTGGTAGGCTTCCAAATTGCTTTAACACTGTAAATATATCAAGAAAGTTTTGTCCAACTGGTCTCTCTCTCTCTCTCTCTCTCTCTCATATGTATATATAGTGGTATTTATTTTAATTGTGGAGGAACATGGATTTTTTTGGTGTTTTATAGAGTGACTTTGGGATTTTTTATCAGGAATTTTTCAGTTTTCCAATAGGGAACACCAGAATTGCTGCCAGTGGCAGGGCCCCGCTTGCTCAGAGCTGGGGACCTCCTGGCCACTGGGGGCAGGAGGACATGCTTTGACACTTCAAAGCAGGCCACTACATGGGAACATCTTCTGGGTGGTAGCTTCCCAGATGGCTGGGCAGGGGCACACATGTTAGGAGTGCCACACAAAGACAACTGTGCAGCCACGGCCCACTAGCAGCTGGCCCAGAGGGGCGGTGCCTCTACTGGCTGTGCAGTCTCCATCCGGGTCTGGCAGGTGCACAGCAGGTCACAGTCAGGCAGCAGCCCCCATTGCCAGACTGCTGCAGAGGGTAAAGGGTGCAGGGAACTCTCAGGGCTGCTTCAGCAGTCCAGCTGGCTCAAGGTGTAGTATCCCCAGGTACCAACTTGCTGGGGCCCAGAAGCTCCGGAGAGCGAGCAGTCCTGAGCTACTTGACAGGGCAGCTTTTTGTACTGATGGGGAAAGTACAGGTGCTAGCCCTGGGCTCTAGCTCGCCGTGGCTGCAGATCTGGGAGGTGCCAGGCACGGTAATTTTGCCCCAAGTGGCACAATCTGCCCCACAGCAAAGTGCATGTCCAGGCATGTGCACTGAGGCAAAAAAACCAAACTCAAATTTGCACTGCTTCTATTTGAGCTGCTGCCAGCACACATGCTTGCATGTGTGGATGTGCCCAAGAAGTCTATGAGCTGACAAGAGATAAGGTGCTGCTGGATCTGGTACTGGCCAAAGGGGATGATCTAGTCAGTGACCTTAGGATCAAAGAGAAGCATGGTGATAGTGATTATGAGTTGATTACTCTCTCTATCTATCGCAAAGCTGACAAATCAGTCAGCAATGCAGAAATCCTCGTCTTTAAGAGAGCTGATTTTCACAAGCTCAGGAGATTGGGTCGCTCCTTAAGGACATGAACCTAAAAGCACAAGGGAAGTCCATTCTGGCCCATAGGAAAGGTAGCAAAAGGGCTGGGAGATCCCCTTGGCTCAATAGGGAACTCATGGACCTCCTGAATCTGAAAAGAGAACTTTATAAGGAATGGAAATCGGGAACTACCACTAAGGAGGACTATGCAGCACTGGCCCTCACTTGTAGGGAGTGGATCAGAAAAGCCAAGGCTGAAACAGAACTCAAACTGGTTACAGGAATCAAGGACAATAAAAAGTCCTTCAAATACATGGGAATTTGGAAACGAAGCAAGGGCAAC